GGTGCGACCCCCGGGACGGGACCCCGACACCCCCCGCCCCGGGGTCACTGCACCTCCCGCTGCCACCCCCGTCGTGTCCCCGTGCAGGGTGTCCCCATGAGCTTTGGGGGACATTCCTGGGGTGCAGAGTGTCCCCATCGGGTTCTGGGGACATTTCTGGGGTACAGGGTGTCCCCAGTGAGTTTTTAGGGTTACCCCTGGGGTGCAGGGTGTCCCCATTAGCTTTTGGGGACACTCCTGGGATGCAGGGTGTCCCCACCGGGTTTTGGAGACATTTCTGGGGTGCAGGGTGTCCCCAGTGAGGTTCTGGGGACACCTCTGGGGTACAGGGTGTCCCCGTGAGTTTTTAGGGTTACCCCTGGGGTGCAGGGTGTCCCCATTAGCTTTTGGGGACACTCCTGGGGTGCAGGCTGTTCCCAGCAAGGTTTTGGGGATACCTCTGGAGTGCAGGTTGTCCCCAGTGCAGCCCCTACCCCAGCTCCTCACCTGCCCATCGCGGGGTCTCACCTGGGACCCCTTGTCCCTGAGCTGGGAGCTCCTCCTGCACATGGACGCTGCCGTGAGTGGTCCCACTCCTTGGGCTCCATTGGGGACACTCCTGGGGTGCAGGCTGTTCCCAGCAAGGTTTTGGGGATACCTCTGGAGTGCAGGTTGTCCCCAGTGCAGCCCCTACCCCAGCTCCTCACCTGCCCATCGCGGGGTCTCACCTGGGACCCCTTGTCCCTGAGCTGGGAGCTCCTCCTGCACATGGACGCTGCCGTGAGTGGTCCCACTCCTTGGGCTCCATGTCCGGACCCCGTCACCAGGGCAGCGACCCCCGGCATCGCCTTACCTTGGACCTCTGCTCTTCCCCACACGTAAAACCCCCTTTTTTCCATCTCAATTTTGAAGATCTGGGCTGTTGGCCCCTCAAAACCAAATATTGACACTTACCTCCATCTCCTGCTCCTGCAGAGTGAGTGTTTAAAGCCTGGCAGGGTGGGTGAAGGTGAGGAGGGGTGAGGAACCAAGGGATTGATCTGAGATTTAAATAGAACTGGGTTTTTTTTGGTTGTTGGTAACCAAAACATGTAGCTTTCCCTGTGAATGGTGGGTGGGTGTGTCAGACCCAGCACTGCTGCAAACCGCGCGCCGCTGAAGACTGCTCAGGGCATAATTATTGGCTGTGATTCTTTCCTCTTTATTTTAAAAAAATTAAAAAATAAAAAAAATCCCTTTTTTAAATTCTTTTTTAAATGTCTACAGAGTGATGCTGAGCCTGCTGCATTCCAGGGGAATGACTCACACGTTCCCTCTGACCCGGGATGTGTTCCCCGCGTTTAACCGCTTTTACTTTGATGGTGGTGGGGTGAGTGGATGGATGAGCGTGAGCTTGGCTGGGCAGTAGGGACCAGAAGGGATTGCCTTGAAAACGAAGCTCTGGTGTTCCTCGGGGAGGTTCAGATAAGTGGGGTT